TTAGTAGCAGTCTTGTACATGAAAATTGAAAAACGTAAACGCGGCTCTGTGTTTGATGTGACAGCGCACAAGTCGTCGGCCCGAACCAAAATGGTCGTGTCAAACTTGTTGTAGGCGAATAACGTTTGTTACACTATACTATTTACTATTTTTAGTAGGAATGATGTTGATTGCTTCTATAAGAATGCAGATACTATAGTTTTATGATGCATAACATAGACACGACACGTTTGTACCATAATAGTCTCGGTGGTTTTAATTGTAGCTGTGAATGTAACTCAGCACAGCCACAATAGCAGTCGCAACAATAACAGACAATTAAGCGTCGAATAACGTCTTGTTGTGTTGTTTTGTTAGTAACAGTCTTGTATTAACATGAAAATTGAAAAACGTAAACGCGGCTCCGTGTTTGATGTGACAGCGCACAAGTCGTCAGCCCGAACCAAAATGGTCGTGTCAACTTGTTGTTCGTTCAGTGGTTTGGTTTTAGTTCTTTCTATTTCCTCTAATTTCTTGTCTAAATCCTTGGCGAATAGTGTTTGTTACACTATACTATTTACTATTTTTAGTAGGAATGATGTTGATCGCTTCTATAAGAATGCAGATACTGTAGTTTTATGATGCATAACATAGACACGACACGTTTGTACCATAGTGGTTTTAATTGTAGCCGTGAGTGTGACTCAGCACAGCCACAATAGCAGTCGCAACAATAACAGACAATTAAGCGTTTTGTTGTGTTTCATTAGTAGCAGTCTTGTACATGAAAATTGAAAAACGTAAACGCGGCTCTGTGTTTGATGTGACAGCGCACAAGTCGTCAGCCTGAACCAAAATGGTCGTGTCAAACTTGTTGTAGGCGAATAGTGTTTGTTATACTATACTATATACCATTTTTAGTGTTACTTCTATAGGAATGATGTGGTTTTATGATGCATAACATAGCCACGGGCACGTTTGTACCGGGACGATTTGACATTATCTATCATGTCATGAACACGAGATCAATAATCAGTATTTAAGGAAGAACTCTCTGGTATCCTGTCTATCGAAACATTACTACAATCATGTCATCCCAAAGCGAACTTCTCTGGTTTAATTATGCCAAACAAATTTATAAGATTGCTAACCCTAACCCTAACCAATCGAACGCTGCTTTTTATATCAATTCAGCCTTTCAATTTGTTGACTACGCAAACGATGATGTCAACGTTGGTAATTATCAATTGTACCGAGATGGAAACACTATTCCTGCATTGAATAGTCCGCAATTTGCACCATCCGGCAGCGTTGACTCCGGCTACCAGAAATACGTAAATGCAATCGATACTAAGGGCGACCCGTCACCTATTGCAAAAGCTCAATTGCAGGCCGCCCAGCAAGCGCTAGATACGGAACAAAGTCACTACTTACAAGTAACGAAAGATGCTTTACTCAAATATGTAGAAATTGAGAAGGCTTCTAAGCTTGCCGGGGTCTACGTACCTCCGTTCGATATTTGGGTTGTGAATAATTATCCAGCGTATGCCGCTGCTGGCAACTCACGAGATGCCGCTAGTCTCAAATATTATACTGCACTGCAAAATTACTATGGTCAAGACTTCCAGGCAATAGAGGCTATGCATAAAGCGTTGGATGCTGCTTTGGATCCTTCAAAGCCCGCCCCTGGTTATAACATGCCTGTCAATCCAACGAATCCAATTGAGGCCGAGAATTCTAGCAGTGATAACAACCCAGTGAAAAATCCAGTTTCATCTGTTCTATTTTACAAACCTCTTTACTCGATTGCGTCTTCTTACAAACCTACGGTTGATGCGTGGATACAAACATACAATATTCTTTCATACACCCCTCAGTACACGTTTAATATTTCAAGCAAAAGTTTCGAACAAGTCAATTGGTCCTCTTTAGGAATCTCTGATACAAGTAGTGGGGGTGGCGGTTTTGTGGGTATACCTTTTCTTTGTGGGATCTCTGGCTCGGGGTGGTCTACAACGAAGGAACAACGAACTGACATACAGGTTAATACGGAAAGCGACCAATTCAATGTCACTATTTCTTATGCTGGCATTGGTGTATTTGATATTACACCCGGAAGCTGGTTCAGCTATGGCACCTTCAGCAACTACACTCAATTACGACCCGGTACCGACACGCATTTTTTTGATGGCCCTAATCCATCCCTTCTTCCCATTCCGTATAAAGTCGTCGTCGGTTTTGCTCCAAAGATTGTTTTAAAGGTGGATCAAGCGTCATACCTGCAATTCCAATCGACCTATCATAAAGAAGTAGTTACAAAGAGTGGTGGCGGTATTTCTATATTTGGTATTACTATTGGCGGTGGTAGTACTAGTTATGAAAGCATATCTTCTGATTATAGCAAGGTGGCGTTTGATGATGAGCAAACAACTGTTACGATCGGCCCATTTGAGTCTACAATTCCATACCTTTTGGGCATATTGGCGACTAAAACTCCCAGCATCAATTCGGAAAAGGTTGCCGACGTGCAAAATAGCTTGAACTTTTTTGTAGAAAGTTTGGAGCCATCCCATCAAGAACGTCTCGCATCAGTTGTGAAGCACACCGTTTTGCCATCCCATGACAAACAAAAAATTGGAGAACGAGTTGCAACTTTCTTTTCCAATGTAAGTTATGCGATTAATTACAGCTTTATAATTTCGAATTTATACTTACTCGATGTATTTTATACTTAGGTTGAGAATAAAAGCAACAATCTCAAATCCTTCGGATTAGCTAAAGCTCGTTTCCAAGCTCTTGTTTTACCGTCATTACGAGCAGCATGGGAAAATAAGTCTTCATCTGGATTGGCAAAACAGTATCACAATCTGATCGCACATCATGTTGCATATCTACTTCATTCAAAAAACTTTATCGATAAAAATACGCTATCTTTACTAACCAGTCATGAAGATGCTCATGTTTTAGGATATCATATTGCACGTTCCCTGGGCAACGTAGTTTGAGGATTATCCAATATTATGGAATTCAAATAGTTATTTTGGTGGAGCAATGTTTGAATCTTCATTTTGACAATGTCACTATTTTATTATAACAAATTGAAGAGAAGATAGTTAAGACAAATGTTTGGTCAAATAAATATGCATCGCAAACAAATCAAGTCGTTGGGAAGCTGGTCTATTCGATTGTTTCTCCGTACCCGGTTCTGCATCCAAACCTGCTCCTTGCCTTGCGTAACTTACGTAACGTCTAGCGGGAATAGCATGCGTTTTATCGGTTCCACCTCTTCGTCTTAACAAGATTAAGCTAACTGCTCTCTTATACTGTTGCAAATGTCAAGTGGTTGAAGAAGTGATAGAACACCGTTTTACCGGCCATGCTAATGTCGCCGAGGTGATTGAAGAAATCACTGACGTCAGTAAACAAATCGCATACGCATGCCATATCTCTAGCGTCATGGCTTAATATTCCGCGCTGATTTTTTGTGTGCGTATTAACGATGCAGTATAAAAATATGTAATGATTGTGAGATACTGGTGATTAAAAATTAGCGATATCACCGACGTCAGTAAATAAATCGCATGCATATCTCTAGCATAATTGCGACTTAATGTTCTGCGCGCTGATTCTCTGTGCGCGTATTAACGATGCCTGCAGCTCAAAAATATGTAACGAGTATGAGCACAGAATCTGTAATCACCGATATCTCAGCAATTACCGGTCTTCGCTCACCCTCA